GGAGATCAGAAGGGTAAGACTAAGAAATGAAAAATGACCATAAAAGTAACCACAATACTTACCGGAGGTGAAGGCTTTCGCGGTGCAACAAGCGGTGGAAGTGTCGTGGGCTTGGGCTGAACTGGCGGTGCACTGGCCGGGATGGCAACCGGAATTTCCGCTTCATCGATCGGTTTCCCAGCCTCAACTTTTTTCAACAATTCTTGAATTTTATTGATGGCTCGTTGGTATCTGAAAATATTGGCACATTCATATGGGATGCTTCCTGATTCAGCACAATTGCATCACTATGAAAGGAAGTTTAGACTCAAACTTTAATTCAAGCTCAATCACTAATCAAAATTATGCTTAGCTTTAAATAAGACTTTTTTGGGGGGATGCAGACGAGCATCCTCTGAAGTCTATTAAGTCAACCAAAACAAACTCTGCTTGCCTTCTGGCTTTCACAGAACTTCCTTCCGCATTCGCCGTTTTGAGCACAGCTGAATAGTCGGTATTAAGTTGTTGCAATCGTTTTAGCATCGCGGTGTCAACTGCACCAACCGGCTGTTGTTGTTCTTTGACATGCTTTTTGGTTGGTGAAGAAGTCTTCCCATCCTTTTTTTCACTAGCAACCAAATTCGATAATTCATCCTTCAATATCAACAGAAATATTCTATCAACGCACAATCGATTCGAGATGACCAATAAATGCAGAACCAACAACTTATACCCACTATGACGAACAACAATAAAATAGACAAGACAACGAGATGACATTTCTTGAATATAACACGACGGGACGTAAAATTGTGATAAAAAATTTCCGAGGAAACATACCAATAATTCAGCATCATCAATTTCTTCATCATCGTCAGCTAAAAGTTCATCATCCGGAATGTCCTTCAGTGCCTGCGAAAGCAACTCTGGTGTAAGCTGACCTGCGCCCTTCGATGGGGCATGTTTCATCGCAACGTCTGCAAAACCTTTAACAATTTCCCGTTGCCAGTAAACAGAACTACGGATTCTTTCCGCTTCAGATGCAGCTGAACCAAAACAATTTAAAAGCCATGAAACTCTTACGCCGACTTCATTTATTGAGAAATGAGCAAGCTGAACACATCAGAAAGGACATATAGTGCAAAAGCGACAATATCAGAACAGATATGCGATCTAACACAAAAAATTGCGCACTGAACTCTTAACTGCAATTCCTTCTGTCCACTATGATTCGAATTCCAGAATGAGCGAAACCGAAAAGTGGTGACGAAAATGATTTCGATAAACACTCACCAGGTGCTGTGAATTGTTTTGAGTTGGTGACCGTCTTCGGCGTTTTAGGAGCTTTAGAAGCTGCATGAGCTCGAGCTTTATTAGCCTTAGCCTTCTCATCAGCCTCAAGAGCAAGTAATTCGGCCATTAACTCCTCATCATTTTCCACATCACCATAAGTGGCTGCTTCGATAGACGCAAAATCCATACTGCTTAAGTTGATCTTTCTAGCTTGTTGAGATTTTAGTTGAGTCCCTTCGTAAAGCGGCCTTTGCGAACTTCTTCTGTGTTGCTGATTCTTACGATTTTTCCCTGGGAAACAAACAAATTCACAAACTGTATCTTTTGAAGACAATCACTGTTAAGATTCATCGTTCAGCGACGCATATACTCGATCACTACGATGTAATACCGATCAATTAAATAGACGGCATGAGTTGGAAATTACTCCGGGAAAGACACAGGAATTTTGTAACAACTAGAAAAGGCAGAGGATGACAGAAGAAGATTATGGATTTCTTTCAAATTAAAAGTGACACATCAAACATTTTTCAAGCGAAAAAAAGCGTCAATAAAAACTCTTATCACTGATGAATCCCACATTTTTGAGAGTGGATTAATCATCCCAACCTGGCCTCTAGAGCTTACCAATGGTTCAACTTCGATCAGTGACGGCCTCTGAAGAAACTCGCTTCAAAGCACCTCTCACTAAATATTTAATGTATAAGTAACAAGCAAAACAACTGATAAAAAATCTTCGATTGAAATTTTCTGAGTCATTCGTCGGAGGCAACTGCAATTTAGACACTCGCAAGGCCATACAAGATGTGACACGATAACAAGTGCGGCGAAGTGATAACGATCAAAAATTTCTCACTAAGCCAGAGCGGCATCTTTTCTGATGATGGAACATGCACCGAATTATCCAAACAACAGATCGCTCAGTTCAGAGACACCGACACATCAATAAAGGATAATTCAAAGAAAATTCCTCAAACATGAAACATTACGTCATTTATCTCGGTAAATAACCGAGTAGTTAATAATGAAGAAAAAACAATGTTATATGAACCTGAACGAACATAAAGTTCGTTAAGCTGAAGCAATCAGTGCGGAGTCACAAATTTCATTTGCAGCACTAAAACAGGATGGTTAACAAATCACTGAAATAATTACGCCTTTGTGAGATATCTAAAAAATTTCGCGAAAGCAGAAGCGCAGCACAAAAATGGAGTTTTCTAACGGCAATTTTCAGAGGCTTCTCATCGTTGATTGTCATAGAATAGAATTTCCCTAACTGAGGATGAGTTTGGGGCAATTCAACACTTCAGTTGACTTTTGTTGCGTGTTTCTCCCTTTGGTCACTGCCTCTAATTAAGANCTCCCTTTGGTCACTGCCTCTAATTAAGAGGCTAAAGGTTCAATGGAATCTTTGAAATGTCAACGAAATCTCTGAATACATTAATTACATAAATCATTGCAGAGAACATTGCTTATATTCCGATGAATTATTAATCAACCACAATAATGAATGTCTCCTTAAGGAAAAAACATTTCGTTTCGTACATCACGAGTTGACAATGCACAAACAAATAAACGAATAAGTTATCGAATTGGTAACTTGTAGGGATGACGTCTTTAGTGGTGTGGTGCGGGGATCGGGGAATCTCGGAGGCCCGATCCCCGACTTTTCGCGAGTCGACGACATTTTCCGGCTTCCCGACTGGAGAATTTCGTTCCCGATTTTCCTCGTCCACGACTTGTTTCCCACCCAGCAATACTAATAGTCACGAAACTTCGGGGACCTCGTCTTCCGAATCCCTGTCCCCGTCTCCGACAACTTTTAAGGCAACGATATTTTTGGGGTCTCCGACTGGAAAATTTTATTCCCGATTTTTCCTGTTCCCGCACCATACTAGTCTTGAGAATCGCATTAAGGTTGATACTGCTCATATGAGCGAACTTCTGCTCCCTTCGATATGAGTTCCATCCGAACGATATCCTTCCATTCTGATGATATCGACCATCCATACGTATCGATCCTTGCGTCGTTCATCGGTCCATNGGTCCATTCCTGAAACCAGATTGATTAGAGATGAAGTGATATTCAGTTGTAAATGAAACATTAACTGCGAATTAAAATGATAACTACGAAATGAGGAACTAGCCTCATTTCATAGTGATTATCTAATGGCACCTCGCCATTGTACAGGGAAAAATAAATGAAACAATAAGAGACAACAAAATCAATCTCAGATCAAGATTCTCTCACCCACCCCACCTAGACTTGGGATTGATAAACCCCCACTCAAGCTATTTCCCCGAACCCCCATCCCTTGAACTCACTCTCCTCGAACCCACCCTCCCCTAAAACCACCTCTCAGAACCTACACTTCTACAGGAGTATCAGGAACACCATTTCGAACTTCGTGTACTCTCAAGTTGCTCGGCAACACCATGACTTTTTGTTGTCATTGGATTTAGCAGATTCTTAGAATTCTTAATATTATATATACTGATGATGGATTTGCCTTACAATTAGTTTAAGAAATATAACTGATTTTCTGATGATATGTCAAACTGTTATATTTGAGCCACTCTATAATATCGCCAAACTCTGCACAATTGATCGCTATAGCGTGATCAATGATGCAGTTGTGCAGGAATATGGAAACACCATTTTCAAACTACTCGTACCCTCAAGCTTGCTCGGCAACACCATGATTTCTTGATACCATCAGAACCAGCAGAATCTCAGCATTAAGAATATCATATATTTTTTTGACAGATTTTGCTTAGTTCGCGAGATGTAACTGATTTTGTGATGATATGTCAAACTAATTGAACCACGTTATAATG